GACAAGGCTACTTACTATGAAGCTATAAGCTCCCTGAGGACAGGCATCAAGTCCGCTTTTGTTTTAAAACATTCTATCTTCAACGTCTATCTTCAGTGATACAATTTAATAATTGTTCAATAAGTAATTATGGAGTGAATGAAGGAATATCAAATAAGATATCCAAATTTGTAGCACTTCATCAATCAGACTGTGACTGACGTTCAGAAGAGTAACATTTGGGAGAACAGACACAGGATGAGTTTAACATTAAGTCACTGATTCCAACTGTTTATTCCCCACACTAAGCACTTAATCATTGCAGGAACCACATAATTAACAGTGTCTTAATAAATTCAATCAATATTGTCACTGTCATCATATCATCATTATGACTACTGTTTTCTTTTAGACTGAGCATTTGGGACTTAAGTTTTGGTATGTGTAAGTATTCCATTAGACTTCACACTTGTAGAAATTCCAGTGTTTCTAGTCTATTAACATCTTTTTGTGTCAAAATTTATTTTCCAATGTTTTATCCTTGTTAGCTTAATATTACTCACATATTTTATCACCATACCATCTATGACTCTGTTCAAGACACCAAGATAGGTAATAATACATTTTATCTTCTCTAGGTAATAATTCCTTTGTCATTATTACCTTTGCCTAGGTAATAATGCCCATGTTATTCATCTTTCCCATTACAAACTGGGAGAAACGAATGACAAAAAGGGAGATAGGTTTGACATATAGGTACTCATGAATTTTCAATGTTTCTCTCCTTCAATTTTAAAAGTTTGCAATCACATTCATACTTCATTGAACAATACCACTTTAGCAATGTAATTTTTATGGAGTTTTATGTTCCTGGAGATTATTCCTCACTCTAAAAATACTAGAGAAAATTCTGGACATTTTTTAATTATCCAAGAAAATTTCCCATCAAATGCCATTTAATGGATTAAACCAATCTTCTGAATAGTTTTGACACTGCAAACATATATAATTTAAGTAAATCTCGTGTTATTTCCTTGATAAAATAAAAATTTTAGCTGCACTTTATAGATACAGAAGGCATTACCGCCTGAGAAATACATCATGTGTCATTTGTGTGTTTACATATTTGCCACCAATGATGAATGTGTGGACTGATTAATCTATACTCTTAGTTTGAGAACTATAAACACTCATAATACTGATCAATGCTCTCAAAGAAACAGTAATAATTAAAACAAAATAATTTCCTGTAAAAGCTTTAGACTCTGACATATAGAAGTTATATTTGTAGATTTTTAGTCTTCTTTATCTGGTATTAATTAGATCTCTAGGAAGCAAATGAGTTTTATCTTATTTAGCAGTTGTGTTGAATGATTTTTATTTAGTACCTTTTATTTCCTGTTGGATTGGAAAAAATACATCTTATATGATTATACAAATATAATATTAATAATTATAGTTTATTTTGATAATTATTCTTACATTTTTAACATGCATAATGACTTAATATATAAGGGTGATCAAATCTGTCCCCTTTCCCAAACAATATACTCCTTATCATTTCCTCCTGTCATATATAACTGTTGCTCATTAAGAATATAGTGTTTTAGTCATGTATAATATTGCTTCATCATATCTATACTTAAGTTACCCAGATGTTTATCGAAATCTTTGCACATCTTGACTTCTTCTCTTGCTGATTTCAATTTCCTTCATCTTAAACATTATCACTTAGGAACTTTTTCAGTGACGGTTTCATAGAGGTCAACTTTTTTACTTCTGTCTTAATTTTGCCCACAGTTTTTGATGGTAGGTAGTTTTTAATGGTAGGATAAATAACTCTAAACTGACATTTATTTCCCTCTCAGTACTTTTAAAATATCATTTTTGTTATTTTGCCTTTTTTTCAGCTGTTGAGATTTTCACTGTTGATATATTAATTCCTTTTTAATTTTTGTCCTTTTCTTTATTCCTTTTACTTTGTCCTTACAGAACTACCTTATAGTTGATGAACTGAAATCTCACTACTCTATATTTAAGTGTATCACTATCGTGTTTGAAAACTGTCTCTATTCATTCTGTACATTTTGTCTTTCAACAAATCTAGAAAATTCTCTCATGTCTTCTATTAATTTTTTCATTCTGAACCTTCTTGTTTAATTCTGCATGACTTAGCTAACTTTTATTCTTAATTTCTATTTTCAGTGTTCCTTTTTGATTAACTTCCTTACATTTGTCTTGAGTTTATTAATAACTGTTTAGCTCAATCTGTCTAATCTACCTATTTATTTCCAGTAAAAGCACTTTTAAATTCTAGAATTTCTTTTTTGTTCTTTTAAAAAAAACATCTGGTCTTTTTTTGTGTGTGTGATTCATTATATTTAATGTTTTAATTTTCCCTTTACCTCTTCAGTAAGTTCTAGCATATATCTTTTATGGTGTCTATCTGCTATCTCCATTATTTCCAACGTTGTGAGTCTAATCTTAATGTTTGTTAGGTATTTTAAATCCTGTTTAAAATGGATTACTTTTTCTTTGTGTAGTTTGCAGCTTTGAATGGCACATTTTATCTGGGGAAACTCTGTGGCTTAGGTTAAGGTATTCATTCCTTCAAAGATTTTGCTTTTGCTTATGTTAGGCAACTCAGTAGTACCATTTGTCATGCTATTTCTTTCTTTCTTTTTTTTAGTGTATATTTATTTTTGAGAGACAGAGAGAGAGTATGAGTGGGGGGAGGGGCAGAGAGAGAGGGAGACACAGAATCTGAAGAAGGCTCCAGGATCCAAGCTATAAGCACAGAGCCCGACGCGGGGCTTAGACCCATGATCAATGAGATCATGACCTGAGCCGAAGTCGGACTCTTGACCATTGAGCTACCAGGGCACCCCTGCCTGATGCTATTTCTTATATTAGTTTCTCAGTTTGGTGGTCTTTGGATTCATGGACGTTCCATAAATTTGAAACTTAATTAATTAATATGAGTACAGACCCTTACGTGGAGTTCATAGGAAAGGTTTGTTCTTGCCCTGACTTCAAACTAAGGCTGAGGCTGACCTGCCTCCTTGTCCTCTCCTTCTCTAGGTAAGTTGAGTTCACTCATTCGTTGCCGCTATCACTCTTTGAGGTTGAAAAAGTAAAGCAGTATTTCCATTTTCACTCTCTTTCTCTGGCTAAAAGTTTTATGTCATACCCATTATAGACTTCACTCCTTCTCGATTCCCACAGTGTGTAACCCTCCTCCTGCAGGTACAATTACCACCCAGGGCAACACGGAGAGCATCAGTTCAGTCTTCCTGGTTCGTTTTGAAAAATCATTTAGTTAATCAAGACTTCAGTTCTGCTCTTAAAAGCATTTAAAGCAATATCGTACCCTGCCTGTCTAGGTGTTTTGTAAGGGATGATTTTCAGCTTTTCTAATCTTCTATAATAGGTATTTTTAGGCAAATAAAATTAAATAATATACATAAGGCCAAGCAGAAAAGAAATGAGGCTTCCTGGTTATTTGCATAGGGTTCTTTTGAAAGTTGCCTTAAGATGAAATTGAGAGTTTGTAAAGCTTTGTATGTAACTAGAAAAGAGAATAAGATATATAAAACATGTGGTCTTGAATGAGTGCCCACACAGAAGCACAGTGCAAGAATTTTGACTCTTTTCATTTGATCTAACAACTAGATCATGTTTCCTCTATTCAAAGTCAGAGGCATGAATAATTATTTATTCAGGGATGAAGGGTGTATATGAATAGAGCCCCTTGCTAAAATCAAGAGTTTTTAAAAGTATTTTTGAAATGTTCAAGAAATAATTTTCAGACAAACTGTAAGAGCCATTCACAAAGGGGAGAGTAAACATATCAAACAACAAATGTTTATTAAATAACAACTAAGTTAAAGGCATTATAAGCCCTGTTTTCATGTTTACATGGCTTACAATCTGTTACATATATGTATATATATATGTATATATGTGTGTGTGTATACAAATATATACATATATATATGTGTATATATATGTGTGTGTGTGTGTGTGTGTGTGTGTATATATATATATATATTTAGTTAGATACTTCCTGCTATCTCATTAGTAAGCTCTTCCTCTACTAAAAATTCTAAATTACCTTGGGGGTAGACCATTGACCAACTTAATCTAGTTCCCAGCATGTAAGTTTTTATTAGCTTCTATTCCAGGGGCTGACATCTCTTGGCATCTCACTTCTATTTTGTAATCTACTCATCACAAATTTCATAGGTTTAACAGCCCTTCTCTCCCACAAAATATCCTAGAAGTAATTTCCAAGAAATTACTGACTTTTTTCAAGGATTTCCTATGTTTTAATTATTCTATAATTATACCACAGTGCTTTTTACATCCCCCTGCAACTGTGAAAGCTGTCTTCAAAAGGGAGTCATGGTGTTATTTTGTTCCTGTTTCATTTACCTTATTGAGATTAGGAGAGGAGCACCTGGGTGGCTCAGTCAGTTAAGCGTTGGACTTCAGCTCAGGTCGTCACCTCACGGTTTGTGGGTTTGACCCCTGCATCAGGCTTTATGTTGTCAGCACAGAGCCAGCTTTGTAACCTCTGCCTCTGCCTCTCTCTGCCCCTACCCACCCCTCTTTCTCTCTCAAAAATAAATAAACATTAAAAAATTTTTTAAAAGATTAGTAGAGCTCAAAGTGGTGTGCTTAGAAATAGGATAAATTTTGAAAAGTGCTCCTACTGTCAATTTATCTCAACAGAAGCATTCATAACCAAATTTTATATATCTGTGTATATAATTATGGTATCCTAGTGACCATTTAAAGTTGGTAAATTTTAACATCTTTTTATGTTCTATAATTTTAACATCTACACAAAGATGTTATAGAAAGTCAAGAAACATGAAAGCACTTCTATCTGAGGGGTCCGCCCGGACACATTTCTAGATACAGAGAAAGCAAAAGTAAACCACTGTGTTTCCTAGATCATTTAAGGATTATATAAGGAAATGTACAGAGAACGTCTGATACATATTTCTGATCGAAATGGCATGTAAAATGTTCTCACCTACCTGTTATTTCAAAAGTGATGGATAGGAAAGGTGCAGCACTAGACTTCGACGTACTCTGATATTTACTTTCTGAAATAACAGGGAAATGGCACCATAAGCATTGTATTTCTCTTTTTTTTTTTTTCAAATCAGCTTTGACCAAAGTGGGCTACTTTGTGGAAACTGTGGCTAAACATCTACAATTATAAATAGTGTGCATTCCATTTAGAGATGGTGACTATTTTATTCTCCTTATTTCTTTGCAGAACATGGGAAATTATGAACTCCTTCTTCATCTTTCTGTCTACCCATTCACAGTTCAACCACCTTCCTGCCATCCATCTTTCCATCGATCGTCCAAACTTTCTGCTGGTTTATCTTATTATATGTCATCATACAGGCTCATTATCCAGGCTGTTTTTCTTAATAGCCTCCAAGCCCACACACCTTATCCAGAGTTCACTGTGGACTTTTCAATCTGTTTTCTACAAAATAATGTTCTAACGTTCCCTATAATATATATCATGAAAGCTTCATGGTGCTTTAGAACCAGTACTCTTGGGTTCCTTCATTTAAAAACATGTTCAATCTGTATTAAAAGAATGTCTTGAATTATAGAGTTAAAATCTACTTTCATTTCACTTTGAGCTCTTTAAAAAATCAATTCATGTTTATGTATCCAATGATAAGCAACATTTTCATCAGTTTTCTAGCTACTGCTAACCTCCCCATGGGCAAAGCCTCTTCCTGCCATATTCTCATAAGGGTCAATTTCATGCCAGCATAAGCTGGACACTGTTCACAGCCTGCTGGAATTCCGATCAGCCAGCTGAACAGAACCTGCCCAGGGTTTTACTACTAACTCTTGTCAGTAGAAAACTTGTCAAACCTTTCTTCTAAAGAAGTGGAAATTTTGCTCTCCTGAAATACTGTAGGACAAATGTTGTCAAGATTGGGAGGGTTACCTATGGCCTGTGGCAATACATGAATAAGACATGGACGGTCTCCAATATCAAGTAGATATATTTTCCCAATTATCTATAGGAACTATCAGCAACTTCATAAATATTCCGATGGTATAATTCAATGGGCACAAATAAGGTGCGAAGTTGCAAATATAATACATTATACTTTGTGCATACTTTAATAAGATACATTTTGATTTTCTGGAAATTAAATATATTAGCTGAAGGGAGGAGAATTTTTTATAGCCTGGTGTGTGTGAGTCTATTAATAGTAGTGAATACACCAATGAATAAAGTTATTTAATGTGGCCCTGTCCTTGTGGTAAGGTGGATATTACCATTCCTCTGTGTAATGTGATGTGCCAAGGTAATAAAGGAATTTTATGTGAACTTCACATCACTTGTTTTCAGTATTTTTACATCAGGAAATTTCATTTTGAGTTAAAGTATTTTACTTTAGGTTAAGGTTAAGGTATCTTTTAATAACTTGGTTACATGTGGAAAGAAGACATTTGTTCAGAGAACACATGGTGCAAATCTGCAAACAGTGTAGACTGCGTTCTTCGTATTAAGCGTAATACAAATTGCTCTTGGGGCAGGTTGTTCATGGTTATACAATCAGGATTACTTGAAATCAGTACTTTCTTTTTAGGACTCATTGAAGGAGTGATTTGGAGGACTTTCCCTCTCTTTTACAAAGTAAGCTTTCATTCTTTGGTATTTATTGAAAGAAAACAGAATGTGAACAATCCTCACAGCCCACAGCCTAATTTTTCTCCATCCACACACATGTACAGTCTTACACATCACCCTTGGGATGCTGGCATATTGAATAAATTTCCCAGTGGGAAATGGTAAGTGCTTCTGGGGAGAAATTCATATAGTCTAAGTTCTGAGAAAAAAAAAAAAGCTGCAACTTTTAGGGAGGATTAACTGTCTTTAAAAAGACTACATAAGGTTTGTTAGTATTCTTGGTATTTGAAATGAAATGACACAAATTACCAAATTATTCATGTTACATACATATATGATTAATATTAATTTTAGGCAAATTGATTATTTCCATATCCATGGATCATTGCTTTGGCATTTGCTTTTTTACTCCAACACATACATCTTAACGACAATGTTCTTTTTGCTTCCCTTTTTCTCTGTGACTTTTTGGTGCTCTGCCATGCTTTTGGCAGTGATAGGGAGACTCCATGGCAAAATGGTTAAAAAAAAAATCCCACCCAGTTGCAATTCAGAATTCTGAAGGATCTTTTGAAAGTAATAACCCACAGGACATAACTGACATTCAGAAACTAAAATCTGATCTACCTCTAGCAATGAAATTATACTACTCTGAAAGGACTGCTATAATAAATCCACCTAACAGTGTTAAAAATGTGGCCATTAAAATGGCCAAGAAAATATTAATGTACTAACATTACATGTTTTATGCTACTTTCTTACAACCTCAAGAAACATCAGTAGTAAAATGTATCCCTAGGCTAGATTCCTAAATGAGTTGGGTGACATACTATGTAAAGTTAGTGGATACAAAACAATTAAATTGTGCAAGTTGCAAATGCACAACTTCAGTGCTTATTTTCCATGAATTGCTGGTCATTGGTGCCACTAATTTGGGGGGGAGGCAGAGGAGTCCTCTCTTCTGTTTTTTTTTTTAACACTCATTTCTCTTGGTTCTTTCCCTTCTCTTCTGGGCATCCTTCACCAGATTTCTTCTCTGAAAATTCTCCTATTTTGGGTCTTTATCCTTATTCTTTTCCCTTTCCAACCAACATATTTGCTGGGGAATACTACCCTATCCTATTTACAACTTGCCAAATACAACACACTCATCTTTTTTGGCAAGATTTCTCATTGGCTTTTGCTTGTCTTCACCAGTACGTTTCAATACATGCTGTCCTCTCTGCCTGGAATAAACCTCTTGCATTCCTGATCCACTTCCTGTGTGGGAGGTGTGTGTCATCACTCAGCTGTAGTGCCACTTCCACTATGTTTCTGTTTCTCTTCTACCGCCCGCCCCCCCCCCCAGATATTCTAAACTCAAGTTGTAATGCATTTCATACTGTATTATACCTATTGGTTTGTGTGCCCTCATGATAACCATGAGCACTTTCCTGACACAAATTTTGTATTGATATTTCCATCCATATCACCTCATACAATTTTTGAAACTCTGTTGGCAACTAATAGATATTTATTTAATGGACTAATGATAGAAATCCTGCTCTTCTCAGGTAGAGGGAAGGTAAGAAGGTCTGCCTATAACATTGCTTAAAAACATTCATATGTGTAGGGAGTTAAGAGCAATTAATTGAATACAAACTTAATCTAATAATTATTAGAATTGTAGAGTAATATTAATATATAATAGTATACACTTTTAGCCTTGACCATCTTGAACTCACTTATCCTTTCGCACACTAAGCATATCTCGTCCCCAAATTGAGATTTAAACAACAAAAAAGGTTCTAAGACAGGTTTTCCAAATCAAAGGGTTTAATCAAGAGGTTTTTAAAAAGTCATGTCATTACTATTTTTTAATATTTATTTATTTGTTGAGAAAGGGAGAGGGAGAGAGAGAGGGGGAGGGGCAGAGAGAGACAGAGAGAGTGAGAATCTCAATCAGGCTCCATGCTGTCAGTGCAGAGCCAGACAGGGGGCTCGAACTCATGAACCCTGAAATCATGACCTGAGTCAAAATCAAGAGTTGGATGCTTAATTGACTGAGCTACCTATTATTATTTTTTTTTTACTGTAGTCGTACTTTGTACTTATTCTGTATTTATTTCATGTAAATTCAAACTGAAAATTTCACTCAATACCATAATTAACCTACTATTTTTCAACCATATTACAAACAGCAAAAGGGGTTGCCATTTTACAGGCAGATTTTACATCTTATATAAGGGAACTCTAGCCTTCAAAATAAATGGCCATTCTACATGTATACTTACAAGATGTTTTCTTCTGTATTTATAATTAGTTACACCTGCTAAATTTTGACTCAGAGTCTGCAGTCAGAATATTTAAAAGACTTGTCAGCAAATCAGAACTGACCAGGGACAGAATTGGATTATTACTATTTTTTTTTACAACCAAAATTTAAATTACTGTTCATCAAAGTGGATATCAGCCATGATGTGAACAGAGTTATGACTGTTCATGTTCCGGATATCTATATGTATATCTGTCTCCCTGCAGGGTGACTCCAGGCTCAGTCTGCATGTGTAAGTTGAAAAGAAGAAGATAGTTTACCTTCTCTGTCCTTGTGGGTGTTTAAGTGCGAGAGGAGGTTTTCATTGGTCTGCACGCAGTATACCTCTCGCATCTGCACCCCTCCTCCGCAGAGGGCAGTCTGGTTGCCCCGCCTCTTGTCCTGCTGACTGAGCAAAGGGTCCACCCGGCACTCAGTCCACTCTGTAGTCCTCCAGCCATACCTAAAGAAAGAAAATGCTGGCCGTGGCAACCATGTTTATTCAATAACACTTTGCTCTGTTCTTCTTACATATTTTTTTCTTAAAAAAAATTAGTCTAAAAAACACTTTCCTCTTGAATCAACCATAGACTACTACATCTGTGGTACAGATTCAGGTTCAATTTCTTCTCCTCTATCCTCAGCAGTGCTCCATTTAAAGAGGGGTTAAATTTAGGATGATCCTGTTTTATTTGCAATTACTGGAAGTTGCTTATAAATATTTTATGAAAAGAGAGCATAATGCTGAAAACATAAAATTTTATGTTCAATTAAGCTGAACTCAGGCTGGCCCTTTCTTGATGCTTATAAACAAAGGAGGATTGAATCTGAGAATGGAAAACATTCTAAATGATGATCAACCCAAACATTTGTTTTGCCTTTAATGCATGAAAATTGCTATTTCATACTGGATCAAAATTATAAGTGTGTGTGAGGATTAAAAAATATATAACAGTTCAGAGTTTTCTCTTTATTGTGAAGAATGAGTGTTTTTCTGTAGCACTGAGAATCCCTGATGAGTGCCTGATGAATGTTGAAAGAGCTGACGTTTCTAATCAGTGGAACACAGGAAAGATGATCTGTGGTTCTAAATTAAAGCTCCAATCAACGTTAGGATGTGAAAGAAATGTTGGGGGCTTGTCAGCCCAATATGTGCTTTAAGGCAATAGCCAGGAACCATTTCCCGATGCCACTACAGATAGAAGTGATGGCATTTCCCCACCTCAAGGAAAATGGATATTCTGAAAGCACAAAGAGAATGGCTCATGTAGCACTTCGTGTCACTTTAAACAAGATGCTTCTTCGGTAATCAGATTAACAGCCAACATGGGTACAAATGGATGTACTAATGTTCATCGCAAATGGACAAAAAAAGTTAAATGGGCCTTCTGATGTCTGATCTAGGTGCTTCGCTTTGTCAATAGTAAAGTTTCATGACAGCAAACTAGACCTTCACATTCATTTTTCATTTTTAAAAGGGGGTGAACACAGCTGCAGGACTGGGGCATCACAGAACAATGCTCCTGACATATATACATTTATAAAGGAAGAATGGCATTCAGATAAATTAAAAAAAAGAAAGAAAGAAAGAAAACACGTATAAATGATGCCTTGAGTCAGAGGGTCGGGAGGGGGATGTCAAGGAAAGTGAAACCAAACAAATCATTCTTTAGGGGAGTTAAAATGAAAATTTCACTTTTTATAGAATAAAGTCCAAAAGTCGGAACATTTTTTAGGACAGTGTTTGCAAAATGGTATTTTATTTTTCCCCACTTAGAATTTGTAAAAATCACTATTTCTCAATTCACTAATCATTTAAAATCAAATGGGTATGTGAACACGCAAGGTAGGGAGACATCACAGCATAAGCTGCCATCCTTTATTTACTCACGTGGCACAGGGGACAACTGTGTCTCCTTGAGATGCACAGGGTTCTCTTTCTTCAAGTTCTGGACACTCCTTCTCACTGCCAATAGGAAACTGCCTAATGATCCGTGTCCTGACACGAGTGCCTTTTGGGGATGCCACATCACGGCACGTGTTTGAGCAGGGACTCCATTCTGACCACTCTGACACCTGGCACTCTTTGGTGATCACACAGGACTGGAAGGTCATTGGCAGCTTCTCTTGTCGGCAGAAGCTGCAAAAGAACATTAGGATTCTCATCACAGACTAATGAGCAGTTACAAACTTTGTCTTCTACACTCCAGAGTAAAATAAGCTCGGACATTTTTATTTCTACTTGGAGGTACAATGCCAATTTCATTGAAAATATATCAACATTTATGATGTGTAAAAGCAGTCAGACTCAAAGCTAACATTTGCATTTCCTATTTTGTAAGAGTTGTTAAGCTGTTCAGAGGAAATAGAAAATAAAGGGACTAAACAAAATTAACTGAAACTAAGCTTACCATATTGTTCATTTCACTCATTCCAGATTTGTTTTAATTCAGAAAATGAGGAACCAAGAACAGTTAACATATAATTTTCATTGTTTAGTGATTTAAATAAACATGACTGGCTAACTTAATACAATATCGTTTTAACAAAAAACCCCTTAAATGTAAGTTTAATATTATTAAAAAAGTTTTTTTAAACATTTATTTATTTTTGAAGGACAGCACAGAGCCTGATGTGGGGCTCGAACCCACAAATCTTGAGATCATGACCTGAGCTGAAATTGGGTGCTCAACTGACTGAGCCACCCAGGCACCCCATAAGCTTAACACTATTTTTAATATCATTTGAAACTTTCGCTGTCACAATTTTATGATTATTCAAGTACATCAACTCTTGTAGTTCACACTTTAATATACAATATACATATGGGTATCTTAATTAGATACATCATAAGCATTAGAAATATAAATCTATTTATATATTACAGAATACACTCTAAGTAGATGTCTCATATTTACTTGTCAGTAAAGTATTTGCATTCAAACTGTTATCTCTCTACTCCTACTTGAATTAGAGGGATGCTGGGTTCTAAATTGTAATGTATACATATGAAGATGATGTTATGAATGCCAATGAGTACAGGCATATGCACTTTGAGTGGTTTTCCTGGAAGTGGGTGGCCTTGTGTTGATTCTTAGTTGAACTCTTGCCCATTCTCAATAACCAATAATGCATGTTTACAAGACATGGGCAGCCTGTCGCCATGATACAGCCATCTGTTCCACTGGGAGAATGCACTGATAATTCTGTCTTGTCATTCAGGTGCTATATTTAACTATGGTGATTAACCATACCAAGAGGCAGGTCCGTTTTAATGTAACAACTCACATTCAATCTTCTTAATTCTACTGGCATGTGCATGAAAATTGCATTCCTAGGAGACAATTAGAGCTCAAAGCATCAAAGTCAATTTGTCTGAGCGGAGAGGTCTGGGAAGAAGAATCATCCAAGAATAGTGGTAAAAGAGCCCCGTGAGTCAGCTCTGTTTTTCTTCTAACAACACAGAAGACCAAAACCCAATTTTTACTCAAATGGCAGGTATTGGGCATTTATGATACATTAGGTACAACACTAACAACAGAGCAAAACTTCCTCTGTAACGAGTAAGTTTTCATTCTTGCATTTATGAGTTCATTCACAAAAGTCAGGCAAACTAATGACCAAATCATGACTTCTAATGCCTCTCTTTACAAACTTCTCTGTAATTTACTCTTAGATACAATTCTTATCTTTCTTGAGATTGTTTTCATATTAACATGTATATGTTATCCTCTATGTAATACTGAGTTCATGTTTCATGTACAGGCAGAGGGATTAAAAATTCCTTTTAACCTTTTGTAGAGAATTTGACCATCAGTTAACGGCCTTTTTCAGTTGTCCTGGTAATCTGAATAAAGCTGGCAAGTCAGCTATGTTACTAGATTGTATTATTTATGATAAAATAACCCCTTTGGATAAATCCCATCTGCACTGGAGAAACTACAAATACCTGATAGACAGCCACCATTTTGAGCTTCCCTGAATGTGGCAACTCTAGGGAGAGGGCTTGTGTTTTTGTAGCGACCTGGCAGGCTATGACAATGGGGTTGCTTCATGAGATCTCAGCTTCTGCGGATCATGAGACTTTTAAGCCAGAACAGCTGCTGGGCTTGTCTGGTGTAGAACTTTTCCTCCATGTGAGCTGTGCTTTACAGATTTCTAGGAAAATTTCCTCATTTGGAATGTCTGATCTACAATCATGTCAAGTTCCTATTCTATATCCTTCACAAAAACAGACCTGATGCCAAATGTGGCCTATGGTATAGTCTTGTGAGTCTTATATACGCGCAGCCTAAGTTTAACACTTCATTTGATACTCCCAACAATCCTTTTATGTGGGTACCGTTCTTATTTTCATTTTATAAGGAAAAAGTCTCCAAAAGGTTAGGAAACACCTTCAAGGTCATATATCTAGCAATTAGATTAAATTTTGAGCTTGGATTTTTTAAAAATCAGAGCCCATTTTATTAACCATTTTTTCCCACTTCTCACATTTTAAACTGTAAATCTCAGTTTGTTAGGACAAATTCTTTAGCTGGGGCCAATGCCAAAGTTACTGGCTAACTGTGAATCAACTAGTATCACTGTTTCACTGCCCCAAGATTTGTACCATTCGTTCACTTTGTAAATGTGCTGCTTGTCCTAAGGAGGAATTAGTGATTATGAAAAAGCCACAACAAATACATTTCCCTGAGAAGTGTTAATTTTCAGAACAGGTCAAACATGTAAGAAATTAGTAGCATAAACAAAAAAAAAAGTTTTAAGTTCTTTTATGTTAATATGTGACAATACATTACCTATCTATCAATCTATTATCTTTCCTGTAATTTTCCAATACCCCAAACAATTATTTCAACAAACATGTATTCAGTAACTCTACTTAATACTGGGCTTTGGATATACAATCTCAAGATTAGAATAATTAAGTTGCAAGCATATAATTCTGCTTGGAGAGGCACAGAAGGCTATCTGAAGTAGCAGGTTACTATGGTGAATTTTAAACAATGTATTAGAATTTTTCAGATTGAAATAAAGACAATTTATAGAGATGTGAAATAAAAGAGCCATTTGTTGGTTGGTTGGTGGGGAAAATACAGATTTTTTTTTCCTTGGCCTCACTGTAAGGAGTTTGTGTTACACAGAGGTTATAAGAGTGGAATGGAGGGGTGCCTGGGTGGCGCAGTCGGTTGGGCGTCCGACTTCAGCCAGGTCACGATCTCGCGGTCCGTGAGTTCGAGCCCCGCGTCGGGCTCTGGGCTGATGGCTCAGAGCCTGGAGCCTGTTTCCGATTCTGTGACTCCCTCTCTCTCTGCCCCTCCCCCCGTTCATGCTCTGTCTCTCTCTGTCCCAAAAATAAATAAACGTTGAAAAAAAAAATTAAAAAAAAAAAAAAAAAAAGAGTGGAATGGAAGCCTAGACCAGATCAAGGGCAGTTATGTAGACCAGAAAAGTAATTATTGGGCGAGAGCATCACTGAAAGATTTGCAGGAAAAATGACATGGTATTTGCATTTTATATAAATTTCGATGGTGATGTAGAGGGTGAAATATTAGGACACAAGATAAGAGGCAGGAAGACCATGATAATGATGATTATGTCAATGACATAATATAATGCATATATCAATAAATAGAAACATATATTGAGTGCTTACTATGTGCCAGACATTGCTCAGTCTAATAGGTGTGATCATGAACATGAGATTAATCTTCACTGAATGTCTACTATGAGCTATGTCCTGTGTTTAACTTTGCCTAAAATATCTAATGTAATCCTCAAAACCACTCTATAAGGTAAAGCATTTTTTTGTTTATTTGTTTAAGATAAGGAAATGAAATCTAAATGTCTCCTCTAGGTCTAGAAAATAACCGAATTGGGATTCCATCTAAATCTTTCTGCTAACAATGTTTAGGAAGGGCACAATAAAGATAATGGCAAAAGAAATTGAAAGGAGCTACCAAGTGTAAGAAAAGAGGAGTTAGAAACCATGCAACCTGATGGATAATTGAAAGGGTTAAAAGAGAAGGAGTCATTAAATAACTTGGAAGTTTCTAACTTTGATGATCTGGTGAGCAGCATTGTGTTTCTTTGAAATGGAGAACATGGAATGAGAAGTAAGTTTCTGGCAGTTTATAAATGAGTTTAACATTAATGTCTTGTTTTGATCTGGAGATTTCCAGGACATATCCAAGAGACAGAAATGTTCAGTAGGCAGATTCAGAATTAAAGTTCAGGGTTTGGTTGAAAGTTCTGGATGGTCTGTATACTTTTAATAATCATGAGGGTATAAGAGATGAAAGCCAAGGCAATAGGAGTATATGAGGGGTCTCACATGGGGGCTCATTTTAGACCTTTGTAAGCACATTTTGTGATTGTTAGTGAGACCAAATAGGGTAGGTAACAAATGATCCATGGTTCCTAATCATGCAGCTACTATCTTGTACCATTCTCTCCTTTATTCTGGCCATGTAAAGAGTTGACTCTAAGTGCTCAGGAGAACGATACACCTTGGTTCATTACAGTTTTCATGAGAACATGCTCCTCTGGGAAAGTCAAAGGCATGGGCTATGCTTCTGCAAGGATGGCCGGGTAAAGTAACGATGGTCACTGTGACAGTTTCCTTTTCATTTACATTCAGGATAGCCCAGATGGCCAGGACTTAATGGAACAAAAGCTTGGCTTTGAGATAGAAGCAGATGTTATTTAGTATACCCTGTACCAGATAGAAAGTAATCAGATAAATATAGAAAAAAATGAAAAAGTGGAGAGAATTCAATACTTGTCTTTAAAGATACTTCATTAAGAGGACAGAGCACAGATATTTCTGATAGTTACTTCAAACTCCGATTATCCACATCTTTAACATCTTTAATTTCATGTCAAGATTAAAACTGATAAGTTATAAATTTCTTTTCAATTTTATAAAGATAGTGCATGAGCAAGGGAGGAAAAGAGAGGGGGAGAGAGAGTCTTAAGCAGACTTCATGCTTAGCATGGAGCCTGACATGGGGCTTGACGCCATAACCTTGGAATCATGACCTGAGCCAAAACCAAGAGTCAAATTCTCAACCGAATGAGCCACCCAGGCACCACTATAAATTTCATTTTTGATAATTCAAGCTATTCAAGTTACACAAAAAT